ATGTGCAGATGACAAGTTTAGGTATCAAAACCCCTATCGAGCATGCTCTTAGGCATTGTCTTGACATTTACAGCATTCACTGTGAGAACTAATGGGAGGACCAGAGGGCCGATAATGGTACTGCAAAAGATTAATGACACTTTCATGTCAGATAACAGAAACCATCTTTGAACAGAGACTGTGGCTGAGAACTTTGAAAATTATTAAAACAAAGTCAAGAAAGGTCAGAAACAAACAAACAAGTTTGACATATTTATTTATAAAAGGGAACAGAATATATAAAGTTGAATTATCAACCTTACTATAGTAAACATTCATTCAAGTCTACTGACCAAACTCTTAATTTAACGTTATTGATTTTAAGTGCGCTAACTGTATATTTTCACTATAACCATACAATGACAAATACAAGAGATATGTGTGCCAAACCCATACACAATACAGTCGCAGTGTAAGTAAATGAATAAAGAAATTTGATCCTCTCTGTGAATAATTGTAATCACGTGAGGCTTTCATTATATGGGGCCCCCATATGATAAAACACTGGGATGCGTTGGGTTTATAACTATTAATACTAATAGTATGTGGATTTTGCTCAGTTCATGACCACAGCTCATCTCACACAGCAACTCTACTCAAGAAAATGCCAATACTTGCCACTTCATTGATCACAACTCGTACTTCTAACTGCGTGCACAAACACACAGACTCAACAGCAATGCTCAGAGACACAAGTCATGCTAGAATACACACACACACACACTTGAATAAACGTGAATCAAACTTTGATAACCTTTATGTAAACCCATACCCTCCCCCCCCAACACACACTCCTCCACCCAAGTCTGTACTAGCCTCCTTCCCCAGCCATTTCTGACAATGCTAATGAATCTCACTGGGAAACAAGATGAAGGTTGACATAGTCAGTTGGACCAGGGCTGGCTGATGATGGAGAGAAAGGGGGTGTAGATGTGAAATTGGACTGGCGAGTATAGGGCATGTGTGTGCGTGTGCGTGCGTGTGCGTGTGTGTGTGTGTGTGTGTGTGTTTGGCGTGGGGGGGTAGAAGACGAGGTCAAGGATAGTAGTGCACAGGCCCATTCTCTGATGATATGTTGGCAGAGGTGCACTATCCCCGGACTCAATGGTAATTTATTACATTTAGGACAGGGCCTGACAACCTGAATCAGCCTCCAATCAGATCACATTGGCAGAGCCGGGTGGTGGGCGGACATGTGCGAATGAGGGAAGGGAGGGGGAGGTAAACAAAAGGAGGAGGAAGCAGAGAGAGTAAGACACAGAGACAGACTACATGGAAATCGTATGCGATGAGGAGATGTAGCCTGGGGCATTTTGCATGTTTTGCCTGTTTCCTTATAGTATGTTTATTTATAATTCAAATGTATGGCTTCAATAATTCACAGATAGGGTATATCAAAAGGAAGTGTGCAAGAATTTTCTGATGGAAAAGGAACATAATTGAAGTGTTTCTTAAGCAGATGCATTAAAATTTTGAATACAGAAGACACAGTTGCACAGGTGAAGACACAGGACAGTAAAGCTGGACTGATAAAGGAAAATAAAAGTCTATATGTGGGTAATTACATTATTTAATACTTTTACAATTTTATTTTATTATATTTTTTGTTGTTCAAGGGATCTCTTTCTGAAATTGCAAATAGATGGCAGTGGAATTTTCGCCATCTTAGGCATTACCATATTTTTCCACATGCTTTAATGGTCCCATATTGCCACCATATCAGTTTTGTACCACAAATGTGCTTTGTTAACTTTAACATATAGTGAATGGTAATGGCATTTGTATAGTTCCTTTCTAGTCGTCCAGTTTGCTGTCAAGTCTGCCCTGGATCCAGAGGATCGAACATTGTCAGTGTCCACCACAGACTGTTTGTGTACAAAGAACATATATTCAAGTAGAAAACTAATATCATCACTGAGATTTTACCCCATCACCAAGATAGCCAGCATGGTTCCTGTATCTACAGTGTCCAGTGTAAATTACTATTGCCCCGTGGCAATTACCCCCATTAGATTGAACCGCTTTGACAGACTGGTTCTCCAGCACATCTGAAGCAACATCTCAGCCAGCCTGGACCCTCCCCACTTTGCATACAGAGCAAACAGATCCAGAGAGGATGCTGTCTTCATGAATGACAACAATCTATATCAGGCTGATTGGTCCAGTGAAATGTAAAATCATCCGGGGACAAACTGATTTTGGTAGAGATTTGCATTAAAAGTCTTTGACTTCATTAATAAACTAAAAAATCACTGCTGAGTGAATAAATGAGAGGAGGCAAATATAAACCATGAATTAATAAGTTGATGATTCCACTGGAAAAAGAATGCAAGGGTGACCAAAATAATAATTACAGGTCAAAAGCAAAACACATATGTATAAAACATAAGTAAGTAATTATTATTTGTTATTTAATCATGTAATAATCAGTAGAATCTTCTCATCAAAGTTCTCCTCTCAAATGTGTACTAGAAAAGAGACTGATAAATGAGTGTGTAGTTTTTACTCTAACAGTGTAAGACTGACATTGTGCTTGTAGGGGTACAACTCTCCAGTTTTGCTTCTTGAATGTAAAGTTTGGATACATTCAAGGATCAACCATATATGGATATGGATAACCATATCATCAAGATAGGCAGCCGCATACTCTTGATGGGGCTTAAGCACCTGGTCCATCAAGCGTTGGAATATGGCGGGAGCTCCAGATAGACCAAAGGGCATCATCCGGTACTGCGAAAGTCCTCCAGGGGTGGCAAAGGCTGTCTTCTCCTTCGATCCTGCTGACAAAGGAACCAGACACTTCATTGACTTTTCGGAAATTTCGTTGCTAAGAACTTACATTCTACTGTGGGGACCAAAACTAGGACCCTGTCTCCGGGTTTGAAACCCCTGGGTTGGAATGCTCGGCTTAGACTGCCCTCTAATCCCTCTGGGCTTTCTCCATGTGCTCCCTCACGATCGGAACCACAGCTGCCATCCTATCTCGCATCGACCCCACATGTTCAATAATGCTCCGATGGGGACAGGGTTGCTCTTCCCACATTTCCTTGGCTATGTCCAGTAGACCTCTGGGTTTGTGGGAGTGCAATAGGTTTAAGGGGAAGAAACCAGTGGAAGACTCTGGCACTTCTCTTACCGCAAACAGAAGGTAGGGGAGTAGCTGGTCCCAGTTTCTTCCATCTTTGTCAATCGCTTTCCTCAGCATGGTTTTGAGTTTTGTTAAACCTCTCCACTACGCCGTCCGTCTGGGGGTGGTACACTGAGGTTCTCACCTGTTTTACTTGCAGAAGAGCGCACAACTCCTCGGTGACCCTGGCCATAAAGGGGGTCCCATGGTTTGTAAGAATTTCTTTAGGAATCCCTACGCGGCTGCTGAAGAGGAAGAGTTCTTTGGCTATTTGTTTAGCGTTTGCCTTTCTTAAGGGGACGGCTCCCGGCTAACGGGTGGCGTAATCAACTAGGACCAGGATGTACTGATGTCTGCTTACGAGTACTCTTTGGGAGTGGGCCCACAATATCCATCCCTACCCTTTCAAATGGAGTTTAATTGGTAAGGGGGTGAGGGGGTTCCGGTAAGTAGGTTTTGGTGCTGTGATTTGGCAATCAGGGAAACTTGATGCACTTGTGAATTCCTGGTCAAAAGAAACTATGCAATACCCCTCCCTTGGTCTTCTCTACCCCTAAGTGAGCTCCTAGCAAGTGAGTGTGGGCTAACTGCAGTACCTGTATCTTTCACTACCTGATATAAGAGGCCCTTCTTTACTGCAAAATGAGGGTAGGAGGGGGTTACCCTGCTTCCCACCAAGGTCCCCTCGAGGATACTGACCCTTCAGGTGAGGTATTTCTCAAGAGCGGACGTCCTCGTCTTCACTTGGCCCCAGGTGCAGTTCCAAATCCCCCATTTCCCCGAGTTCGGATTCCCCATCTCAGAAGTCTCCTGCCAAAGCCTCGGCAACCACTGGAGGGGAAGGCAGGGTTTGGCAACATTCATCTAGAAGTTTTTTGTATCTTCAATTTTTAACTTAGGTTTTCGTGGCCCCCGTTGGGGCCTCCTTCGGGCTTTCCTCCACTGCCGGTGGAAGACCGGACAGTCGCAGCCAATCAGGACCAAGACAGGCAGGTCCTTGTTGTCAGTCACAAACTGCTAGTGCCAATAGTAGTCAGATGAGTGGCAGTAGTAGGCAATAGTAGTCACCAGGAAAAATGTGTTTACTATATATAAAGATAAAGACCAATCACTATTTACACAATGTTCATGTTTTAAAATGAAAAATGGACATTACATCAGTTTGTTTTCAAACAACACATGTATATTGCTTTTCATCATATGAATCGAATCCATGGAGCTCTAAAGCTCCGTGATCCTCATCGCTGCTTTCCCAACTCAAGAGTGAGTCGTGGACTGTCGACTTTCTTTCCGCTTTTTTCTCTCCCGTCTCTCTGAGCTGCATCTGAAAACAACAGTGTTTCCTAAAGTGGAAGCTGGTGGGTAGGTCGGGTGCCGTGACAGCAAACTAAAACAGAGTTGCCACAGAGTCGAGGTGCTACTGATGTGTCATTGCGTGCGAGTGCCACAAGGAGGATCTCGCTTTCTGTCTCCAAAGCAAGTTAAAAGTATTGCTTTTTTGGTTTAAGAACTAGACAATCTATATATCTAGCAGCAGGGAAGGGTAGAAAAAAATAAAAAGAACACGATTTCCATAAACTATATTCCACCTTAGGAATGCATGTATCAAAACGAAATCCACTCCATCAAACCTTTCTTTGCTGCGGGATCATTAATTATTGAGGGTTTATTTTGAAAGTAATGACCGGAAACGATGCTTTAAAACACAGCCACTTGCCAGTAGTTATTACTACTTGCTATTGGGTGCTGGTTGCACCCTCCCTACTCCGCACCTTCCGTCATCAGCGTGCCCCGCACATCTCACAGCAGCCCTATAAAGCGCTCCCCCGCCCTGCAGCCTGCAGACAGTGAGCGCATCGCGCAGAGCCGCGGACATGGGGACGCACTGAGTGCAGAGGACTGGCCACGGACCGAGGTGCATTCCTGTGAAAGGGACTACTGATGCCCGGAATCAGACACTTACATTTGACAGATTATTCGTTGTTCTCCCGTTGAAGAACTACAGAAAAAGAGTTTGCCTGTTGCCAGCGCGTGTTTTTGCAACGCGGGACAGAGACAGTGTTTTATCACTTTGCACATTCATTGATTGTGCCATGCCACAAAACAGGACAGGATTATAATTCCCGTTTGGATTTAAAAGTCATCGATTTAACCGCTTATCAACACCAAAATCGGCTTTATCCTCTGGAAATTGCTTACGGAGATGGCGCAAAGGGTAAATCTAATTTGACGCATTTTTGTTGAGTTGTTACTAATGCAATAACTAATAAAAACTAATTGAGTTCGTTTATATATATAAAGCCTATATAATCCCAAATGAATATAATGGAACATTCCATTACTAATAGTATTGCCCTGTGTTTTGGTTCCTGATGCCATCCCCAACTTCACCCCAGTACGACGAGTTGTCTCATTACGGAGGAGCGCTGGATGGAGTTGGAGTCCCGACATCGATGTATGGAGACCCGCACGCCCCGCGGCCCCTACCTCAGGTCCACCACCTGAACCACGGGCCGCACCCAACGCAGCACTATGGTGCACACGCGCCGCACATCATGCCCAGCAGCATGGGCAGCGCTGTCAACGATGCACTAAAGAGAGACAAGGACCAAATCTACGGGTATGGATATGCCTAGAAGAACAATTTAATTGACAACTGTTTTCTTCTTCTTCTCATGAATATGATTGTTTGCAGATCTGTACTATGAGGTGGAAGAGAAACATTTGGGGCACAAATACGGGAAGGCACACACATTTATTTCGTTTAATGTAAAAACGGATCCGAAATTACGTTGAGATAGTGTTCTTTTTTTAACCTCAGGAGTAGGCGGATAAAATGATTTTTGATCCAATTTGAATTTTTGAACTTTTTAATGTATTCCTTTGCTGCTTCAAATGAGACCAAATCCCCTTGTTGCCCGGATAACCGATTCAAATCTCAGAACAGGTGGTTTGCTTTGGAAACAGATGTTGTTGTCTTGAATTAAGGATGAATACATCAATATTGGTTGCAGATTACTAAATGCCAGTCCGTTGTTAAATTCACCCAGCTAAGAATGAATTGTTATCTGTCGCTGCTTTGATGAACTGTAGTTCATGATCAGGCCTAACAATGATGAACTAAATGGGCCGGTCTCTAATTGTGTTGCAGCCACCCTTTATTCCCTCTTTTGGCTCTGGTGTTTGAGAAGTGCGAGCTGGCAACCTGCACGCCGAGAGAGCCGGGGGCCGCGGGGGGAGACGTCTGCTCGTCCGACTCCTTCAATGAAGACATAGCCGTATTTGCAAAACAGGTAGGACCAAGTAGGAACTAGGGCCAAACTAGAAAAACCAAATCAGTTTGAAAACACCAACTGATTCATTTCATCGTCGTCCTCAGATCCGCGCAGAGAAACCTCTGTTTTCTTCCAATCCGGAGCTTGATAACTTGGTGAGTATGACGATTTCTTTCTCACCTTTCTTTCAAATTTCTTACTCCGACTCTTTCTCCGCCTCTTTATGCGATGTGTTGCGAGATCAAACATATACCAGCCTCTTTTCCACATTCATCTTTGTAATGCAAGACAAATATTTGTATTACGTTGGTAATTAGCAAATGCACACAATCGTTATGACTATGGAACCCTGGGCGTCTCTGAAATTATATTGTTCTCTTATCATGCATTTTTGGGAGGGGTGATTTAAAATGTATTTGTTTTAGATGGTTCAAGCGATTCAAGTCCTTCGATTTCATCTGCTGGAACTGGAGAAGGTATGCCGATGATGGATACGTGGCAGATCTAATTCAAACATGTATCAGCATTGTAATTGTTTTAATTAATAAACCGTTGTTTTCAAAGTCAAATAATCTAAGTGAAATACTGCGTTGGCAGGTTCATGAGCTCTGTGATAACTTCTGCCACCGGTACATCAGCTGCCTTAAGGGCAAAATGCCCATCGACCTGGTCATCGAGGAGCGGGACGTCTGCAAGTCGGACTTCGACGACCTCTCCGGATCCTCGACCAACCTCGCAGATCATGTGAGTTCATCCTCCTTGCTTGAGAACTGCTCAATGGCTGTTTGGTCTTTCTCAATGTATTTACAAAGTCTTTGCCTCATTTTCAGAGGTTAAGAGTTGACGAGTTGCTGCAGAACCAATGCATGCATTTATCAACAGGGCCAATCATTTAGCATTTTGTTTTGAATCTGACTTAAATTTAGTTTGCTTGTGCACAAAAGGCCTTTAAACTGATCTACAGAATCCAAAAAACTGGATGAAAGTTAATCAGTGTGGTCAAGTTTTGGTGGCTTTGCTGAACCAGAGGGTTGTCTGTTTTAATGGCGTGTCAGCAGGGGAATGTGTGGCATTTGAGGACATTGGATGTCTTTAGGGGAGATTTTTTTTCTTCTAAAAAGCCATATTCGTTTAGTCTTTTATGCACTCCGCCACTCCGCCATTCATCAAATTAAATTTAATGAATTTAAGATAATTTTGATCATTGGAAAGATTAAGTAAAAATGGTCTTTTCTAAATACATTTGAATTGTGATTTCACACAAATTTGTAGTGTGGAGCTTTTATATACTCAATACATTGAGTAGAAAGAAAATACCTAATTTACAAACTTATGTTATATGTAACTACTCAATACCGCTTATTAGTACATGATTATGAGATGAACATATTAATGAAAGTACAGATTTAGATTAATGATACAGAATATATGCTACCACTATAATACCTGATTATGTATTACTGTAGATTCAACTAACTAAATCATTAAAATCAGCTCCTCCTTCAGCTGTGACAGAGTGATTGAATCTTATTAGGTTATAATAACATGCAATTTTATTATCAAACAATAACTATATATCAGTCTGTATTGTGAGTACTTTTGTTTTTAATATTTTATATTTAGTTTATGCTAATGTAATTTTAAAAGTATTTCACACTGTAGTAACTTTTCTTATTGGCTTAATTCCTGCACTTCTGCATTAAACTATGACATTATTTTACATCATTTTATTAAAATATGAGAAATGTGTCTCTTTTCAATAAAGTCAACCTACAATGATCATGAGGAGAAATGGAAAGTACATTACATAAACCTACGTATTTGCATCAATGTCAACACGTCCTTGCATGGATATGTATGCTCTCCTATTTCCCCTCTGTCCTCCCCTAATTATATAGATAGATCTGTTCATTAAGTCATGATTTGGCCGTCAAATTGTATTTTTAGATTTTTTTGACTATTTATTTATGAAGGAAAACAGTTAAATGTGAAGATGATGATCTTCCTCGCCCAATATGCAGTTGAAAGCAAATCTTTTGCTGTCTGGTTTTAGCAGCGATCAGCCTGGTGTTTTCAGCCAATAGGCAGGAGCTCGTTGTTTGGTGCCCCCCTGCTCCCTATTTTTGGCACCTGTGTTGATTAAAAAGGAAGCTCAGGTGTTATTTGAAGTTACAGTGTAGCTGCTGAGTTGTACTGTACATGCTTCTTGATGCAAAAAAAGATTGACCCCTTTACGCAATACACATACATATTATATGTATAGTTATACGTAGCTGGTATAATGAATATATATATATATATATCTGGGATATTTGGCAAACAATAATGAAGGAAATGTTGTTTTTGTATCATTTTTACCTTGCAAACATTTAAAGTATATTTTCTTTTGTGAAAAATATCGACTTAATTTACTTCATGAATTCCTCTTGAGAATATAATTCTTAATATCTTTCCCTCTTTACTAAGCATCAAAAAACTGTTTTTGTGCGAGTCTGCGAGTGAGGCCACCAGTTGATGGGACAGGACCCACATTACTGTAATGCCTGCTGCATAATGGATGTGCAGCTGTCCTCTGAGTACAATGACATGCACAGTTGTGTATAGTACATGCATGTTAACCGCTGAGTGTACCACAATCTGTTTATCATTCAAAAGGCCTAAAAGAAGTCTGAGTTTAAAGGCTTGCTTCTGCCATTGGATTCTTATTTTCTTTTTGGCTAGCTGGTTGTGTTTCTGCATTCCACTCCTGATTTTTTACCTTTACCATTTTTCTTTATTGGGAAAAAGAGGTTTGAGAGTTGATGGGAGAGATGGCATTCACTGACGATCTATGGTTCAATGCAAGACAAGGATGTTACCACACAAGATCTCTTTAACACTAAATCCACCACACAACCCCAAGTCAGTTTTGTAGAATTTACCTTCATACTAATCAATGTAATTTAGAGATCAATGTGGTTGGCGCAAAGTTAAACAACCATGTTGCGGAATGGATGCTGTGTGTTAACTTGAACTCAAACCTTGCAGATTATCGTGTATCTGCAGGAAAAATAGCTCATTCATTCAGCCAAGCTTACAGATTGATAACTGTTTAATATTTCCCAGTTTGACCAGCAAACAAACAGCCTTTATTCCCTTTCAACAACAAGACTTATTTTCATCTATATGGGATTCGCAGTCTTAGCTGTACACTTCAAACGATTAATTGCGTTTTAACAAATGTGGTGGTTTGGAAATGAGACCTTCATTAGCTTGATAAACATGGAAACACACAGTGCCTCTTTGAGTAGATGTGTGCAATCAGGAGCACCAAGTAATTATTGGTGGCTTCGACAAGAAAAGCGGGGCCGTCATTGAGAGGGCTCGTGCACACTGCGCCATTGTCCCCGCTCCTGTTGTCATCTGCTGAGCTCTTCATCCGATCACCATCCGGCAAACAGCTGACGCAGAGAGGTTGAAGAGGCAGCTTTGCTGTTTGGTTTGGCCTCGCGGCTGATGAGTGGCTAAACCAATCTGCCCAATAAATACACAGTTTCTCCGAGCACGATTCATAGAAACCGCAAGGACAGGAGGGTCCACGCGCCACTGTGTTACTGAAATCTTATCTAAACGGTTTCTGCAACTATATTTTAACATTCCTCTTGGTCAAGATGGTAATGTTTTCTTTTTTAACAAATGGTTGCTGCTTTACTATGCTAATCATTCCACCGGCTGTCTTTGTGTCTTTGGGAAACTGCATAATGGACCTCATTCTGGACCTAACGGACCCCTCTCATCTATTTTTTTTTCTCTCTTCTTCTTCTTCTTCTTCTCTGTTTCCTTATCTCCTGTACCCTGGTGTGCGGACCTCTCCCTGACCTCTCAGAACCCAGCGTCCTGGAGAGACATGGATGACACCCACTCCACACCTTCTGTCGGTACCCCGGGACCGTCCAGTGGGGGACACGTCTCTCATAGTGGTGACAACACCAGTGAACTCGGTAAGAGCGCCCGCATGACTCCTTCGTCCTCTTTCATATCAAAGGTTTGACTTTTCCGTGACCTCTTCCTGGGGCATGGGGACCGCTGCACTGGTTACTAGGGGGGTTTGGGGGTAAAAACACAAACAGTAAGTTTAGTCAGGACTCATCATGACTAGAATCTTCACAACAAATGTACTCCTATTTGAGTTAAGTTCGCCAACAGCTTTTCAGGTGCTTAAGAAAATGAATTGAGTATTTTGTTTTATTAAATGAAACTATTTATTTGTTAGACAAGATGTATATCTTCAGTATGAACCAATCGGCTTCATGGTGCTACAGACAAATAAAAAACATCTCCTGGGTAGAGGTTATTGTTTGTTTACCGTTAACAACACGGATGGTTTTACGTCTCATGCGGACGCTAAGGGTTGCTTTGTTGTATCAAGGACAAACTCATTTAGACGTTTGTCGTATTACATTTTATTGACTAAAAATATAATTAGTCGGGAGGTTATTTAATTACACATTTTTTCTTAAAACTCTAGCTGGAGCTTTGAGTAAGTTCAGAATTACAACGGTATTATACAGATACAATGTTCATAGATGTGGATAACTTAGACATTCACTTGGCTAGAAGAACATTAAAAGGGCCAATAATATTGATTACCCACTGTAACTGGGGCTCCCTAACTTTTGTGTAGGTTCTTAGTTTACAGGTCAGTCAGCTTGGTTCTTCTGAGTTTACTCTTGTTGTCAGCTGTTATTGTGTTCCTGCATTTAAAGATATTTCTGATGTGCAAATTGGAGGCCATAAGGGTTTTATGGCTTGTTTTTGTTATTGTCACCTTGGGCGCAGTAAAAATAGAATGGACTTTCCACCCTCTGCCCATTAGACATCGAGGAGGAAAGCAATGCCAAGAACAATAGGAGGATGCTTTACAAGAGAAACTCAAAAAATGAAGCATAGATCAGGAACACGTCAAGACTCTTGACATTGATATGATATACTTAAGATAAATGAGCACGTGACATAATTGTTTTTTGTAAATCTTTACTCAAGCATTTAGGATCCAGAAATGTTGTATTGACTTTCCTTGGGGCTTTTCAAAAAAACAACAGTGTGCGAGGGGGGGGACCCATGGTTCATGCCCTTTTGACCTGGGAGGGAATGCATAGGGGATGGGAGTGCAGAATGCCCCTGAAGGGGTGTAGGAACAGGGTACTTTATGTATGAGTAACAAAGGAAAAGAAGAAGGCAGAATGATCAGAGCTGTCGTTGCTCCTGCAGGATATGCTGCATGCTACCTGCTGCTTCTCCCGGGGGCCTTTCTGCCTTGTTTCCAGTCTATTCTCATGCCAGGGAAAAACCATTTGAAGCAGGTAGATGGCCAACAGGTTCATAATTAGTTCAGTTATAAAATAAATGCTTACCTTGTTCTTCAGGTACACTGACAAAGCCGTTATCTCATAATAATTCAAGTCTCCTTAAAGTTATGTTACTTTCCAATTGGAAGGATTGGTGACGCAAACCAACAAAGGTTCCTGTCCCTTCTCAGTCCAGCAGTCCTTTTTGCATTTTTATGAAAGTATGCACTGCCTTTATCCCAATTATCACCAATAAATCCAATCCTGGTGTCAGTTTTAACATTAACAAGGTTAAGACTGAGAAGGTAACTAAATTGAGCAGCAATTACATGTTGAGGTGACAGCTACAACATGCACCTATACTCGACTAATTTCTCTTGCCAGAACACAATGGTGGAACCATAATTGATCCCTGTAGTCTTCTCACTGGCACGTATGAAAAAATGAGTGAATATATTTAGCTTCTGCCCCCAAAAATATATTAGACATCGCTACAAGGTTTTGTTATAGAGAGAACACTAATTTGAATATTTTAACTATATGTGTGACTATGTGGAACAACAGCGAGTTCAATCTAACATATATTAAATCATTCATAAATAAATTCAAATTTCAAATGAGAAATGTCAAAATCGATCATATGGTTCTTTAAATACTTCTTTAGAAAAAAGTTTAAAATAGAATAATTCCAACAGAATACAGGAAGGAATTGTGTTGTCCTGTCAATACAGTGACACAGTTGTTGGGATTCAAGTATGGTAAATATCATGTTACAAATAGATCATGTAAGCCATTGTGTTGTTCTTTGAAATAATACATAAATCATTTTTATTCAACATCATTCACAAAACAGCATGTAGCCAGAGTGTGAGTGGACCATGATTAGCTTCACTTGGACACAGGCGTCGAGAAATGATATGAAAATAGGTTAGCTGGAATGCCCAGAATTGAAAAGAAAACATAAATAACATGTGTAGTAGTGAAATTCCGAACATCGTATCAGATAAGCTATAATTCTATTTACCCAGTATCAAAGGTTTTGTTTTAAAGTGGGCTGGTCTGAGGCACACTGGGCTGTGGCGCTTCCCAAGTTCCTCATTGTCCACATATAGCAAAATGAGTCCTGCTCTGTGTGGTGGGGTGTCAGTATTCCACAGTCTGATTGAACATTTTCAAATCTGCTGTCATTTGGGAAAACTAAAGTGGTGGTCATGTCGCTTCCAGCCCTGACTAACCACAGGTAGATTATCCATATGGCCGTGGCGGCCTCTTCTTCTTGAAGCTCTGAGGTTTTGTTTGTTGCCTTGTGAGCTGTGTGATATGCAAAGAGACCTCTCCTGGATAGCTCAACCCCCCCGGGGTGACTGCTGTTGACCACATGGAAAGGGGCTGAGCTTTCTAAAGAATGTTTGAAAGAGGGAGGACAATAAGGAGGCTTAAAATGTCCATCACAAAGACCCAAACAAAACAAAAGGCAGTGGGAGTGGATATATAAAAACATACAAAAATATCGTGCACACTCCTGTTGAGAAACAGGATGCCACTTCCAGAACCTGGAGTCAGGAGACGGGAATGCGAGGAGGTGGAGGTGTTGACATGCCTATGACATCGCAGACCGTAGGTTATGGTCCCTTTAGCATCTGTCACGATGCGGATGTCAGAATTGTTGTGGAGGGACAAGGAAGAGGTGAATGCTTGATGAAGAGGGAAATTAAAGTTTACACGTTTGGCTCGAAGAAAATAAGAAAGGATTTACTTGAAAACACATTAACAAAAATTGTATTTTATGTACTGAGACTTTAGCATATTTTACTCATTAACGGCCAGTTTATCTTGATTTTCTAACTTAGTCCTCTTTGCTCGCATATAGTTAAGGCTTTGAGATCCATTTCAACCCTAATATAATATATTAGGTGAATAGAATTTGATGTTATGCTCCTCATAGCCCACAATTACATTTGAAACATTCTATGAGATATGCGGTTGAACTCCTTTCTATTCCAAAACAATCATTTAAAAACAAAGTCTTGTCAGCTTTTAGTACCATATCAGACCCTGAAAATGTTTCCTCTTTGCCTGGATGGTAGGTCCTGCAAGCATCTACTGTGTATGTTTGTGTCTGCAAACATACACATTAACCTCATGTAATAAATTACTTAATAATTAAAAGAAAAGACTCCAATTTACTAGTCCAGAAAGCAATTCAGCATCCACAGAAATCTTCTTCATTCACTTGCACAACTTTTCATGTAGAAATATTGAGAGGGTAATGGCAACAGTAATAATAACAATAATACATTTTATTCATAGCACAGTCTTCATCAACTGATCTCAGAGTGCGACAAAGCAAGCAAAACATAGTTAAAACATAGTTAAAATAAGGTAAACTAATCCGCTTGAAACAGCATTGAAACATTGAATCTCCCCATGAAGAGCTTGTAATAGTTCAGCCTTTCACATGGCGAATTCTTCATGTCTTGGAACCAGACCACTGCATTTAGAGCTGTGTATCATGCCTAATAAGGGGAGGAGCCCCGAGGTGTCAGTGATGATTGACCAGGCCCCACTGAGCTCATTAGACAGGATATGCTAGCTTTGCATCACTGATGCAGCTGTAATCAGTTCTGCTAGACGCTTCGTACTTTGTCTTACGGACGCGTCATTCAAAGGCTTCGCCCAGCGCTCGGTGCCCCAAAGCAGCATGAGGGAAAATTGAACAAAAAAAAGCGTTGAGACTATCAAACCCAAAGTAATCACCACATATACAAAAGATGCACTACATACATTGATGCAACATTAGAAAGAACATTGCTATTAAATAATAAAATGAAGATTAGACACAATAATGTAGTAATGGAAGAGACTGAAAGTACTCACAAAAATGCCAACGCTTTAATCCATCTTTTTATCAGCCACAATAATTTTAGTAATTTTGAACATATTTCAATTTGCTATGTGCTCCACGTCTACCGCCTGCCCAACAGAAAAGCTTTCAAACCTGATGGAAATGTCTACTGTCCCAATATTTCTCAATAGCACCAAATGCAGGAACATAATATATCAGAAGAAAACAAATATGGCTGAGCTGGTTTCCCCTAAATGGTAAGCGCTAAGAGGTACTCAACAACAGCAAAGGCAGAACCGAGTTGCCCAAATGTGAGAACCAGATGTAGAAGGCACTGGAAAAAAGAAGAAGACTCTTCATATCTTAAGGTGCTGTTTTTCAATGTGTTTTCTTTTGAGCCCTGGGGCAATACTCAAGCTACTCCTGCAACAACACTGGCAGGGACAGTGGAGTTGGGGTGGAGTGGTTGGGGTAGGATGAAGGGTAGGCATGGGAGACTTGCACGAGTGTATGACTTTGAGACTCCCCCGTCACACACTGGTTAGATTGGCTGTGTTGCCGGGGAACAGTCAGTAGCGATTAGTGTAGCAAAGGATCTGCCCTGCGGCTCTACCCTCTCCGGAGCAGAAGAAATTTGGATGAGGAGAGGAGAGGAAGTGCACTAGGGTGGGGTGTCAAGGGTGGGGGGTGAACAGAATGTCTTCCTATATCTTTTTTTTAAATATTGAATGGATTTGCACTTTTTATTTCAAGAGATACAGAAGAACCAGTCATATCAGTTATAAAAAAAGGGATCTTGAAAAATAATTTGGTTGCTTTTACTATGTTCATGTTCATTTTGCCTGAATACTATAGGCTGATATTCAGACTGAATTGCCCAAACTTTTTTTTTCTTTAAGTCAACTCGACGTTGTGCTCACACCAGCTCATTTGTTGATTGATTTGAAGATTGTTTGTCCTTACCACGAAGTCAAGGACAAATCAACGTCTCACAGAAATTGCTAGAAGCTGTTTAATGTTTTTCAAAATTGTCAAACAAATTTGACGATTTAAGAGTTGCTGGTCTCTGTATCTGGGTGGCTTGTTAGGTACGTGGGAAGATGATGTCTCTGATGTATCTAAAACTGTCCACAACGCAAGGAAATATTGGACCAGAAAGAAGTTACTTAAACAAAAGGATGTAGGAGAGGTGGGGGACAAAATGGGCAGAGGGAGTTTGAACCCTGCCCCCTGCTGATGACTTAGAGCTGGACACCATCCGTCCAAATTCCCACAACCCCCATAGCCTAAAACCCTAAAACACATCCTGTTTAATGTCAATATTCATTAGCTGAAATATTTATTCATGAATATGGCTCATATAAGCGTGTTTGATTGATGCGTCTCTAAAAACAAAAAGACATGCTTGGGCAAATCTTAAGAAAAGTAGGGTTTGCGTTCCACCTCGGGGGAGGAGTCTCTCAGATGCATTATTCACATGCCCTCCAGGCAAGCTTTCAAGGCTTCTCTGCCTCGAGGGCAAGAGAAATAACCACCACTGTTAAAAGTAAATCATCTCGGCTGATGCACAATTAATGGCTGAGAGGGAACGGGGGCCCCTTGTGCTACAAGATGGCGCGAGTGAGCTAGCAGGAGCGGAAATCTCAGCTTAAAAGAAGTCCACTGCCTTGATCCAGCTTCCTACTGAAATCAAACTTGGATGCTGCCATTTTATGGCAGGCACAAAATTCCTACTGTAACTTCCTCTTGTCAAACATGTGGCTCGGATTGAAATAATACTCAATTCAATGTCTGAGAATTCCAGGCGAGAGGAAGAATTTGGTGCTGCTGTTCCACGGAGTAGTGCAATCTTCTTCAGTCAAAACTTCTGGAACATGTTTTTGTGAAGGTGACAAGATAAAATGAAAGGACCCTTCTTTTGTCTCTGATCATAGGCGATACCCTCGACAACAGCTTGGCATCACCAGGCACAGGAGACGAGGATGACCAGGACAAGAAGAGGCAGAAGAAACGAGGCATCTTCCCCAAAGTAGCCACAAATATAATGAGAGCCTGGCTCTTCCAGCACCTAACAGTAAGGGAATCTAGCTTTGGCCTTTTATAGATTTTTAACACAAAATGTTTTCTTTGCAGCAGTGGCATCATATATTTAAGACACAGAAATAACGGTTGTGTAACCGCAGTCTCTGAATCCACCAAAATGCAGGAAAGAGCCTTGGCTAGGCTCCCCAAAGACCTCCTGAAAAGTTAATCTCTGTTCCATTGGAACAGAACATGGCAATGACAGTATTTTTGTAATTGGAGAGTTTTACCTTTTATGGGAGGTCCAAAAGATACCACGGCTGCTGCCTCATCGGTCTCTCAATTGTTTCGTTTGTAAAAGGCCCATACAGGCGCTGTACTCGGGAAATCCGTTCTTTTCCAAAGCCAACCATTAGATTTTCCAGATGAAAAAAGTAGGATAATTGAATTATCCCCTCTCTCTTCCCCATTCCCTTTCAGTCCTAATTTGTTAAGCACAAGTGTTTGCCGTGGCAGGATGTGCCTATGAAAGTGTGCAAAGGGACTTTGGGCGCTGAAAGGCCTATTGGAACTGCCAAGCGATCAAGCATTCATCAGCCTCTAGGGTGTGAAAGGAGCGGGATTATGTTTTGTCAGACGTTGCAGTGTGAGGCTCGCGGTTGGAAGGCCGTTAGGGGGGATGTTTCTGTCCACCCACTAACCATAGTCTCCTGCTTTGTGGTCCATTCTGAAGACTCTTTAAAGATGCCTCTGAGGAAGCTATAAAGAAAGCCGCTATGAAAGGTTCTGATTAATTATATTATTCATTATTAGCCTGGCCGCGACTGCTGCTTTCAATCATTGATGCCAAAGAGTTTGGGGTTCAAATCTAAAATACAATGACGGTCACAATTGTTGTGTCAAAGTCAGCCAAAATCTGATTGCATTTAATTGCCTGTGTATATGTATAAGTGAAAACGTAATTATCTCCCACAATCTAATTATTAAAAAAATCTCATTTCCTTTAAACAAAAGGTTTTTGTTCCAATGTTTTCAAACAACAGCAGGTTTATAACACCAACTATCGCGTTGTGGCCTTAAGTCTCACCCCTTGTGTTCATTATTGGACAATATTACAGAATCTGCTGGGATCAATCTCCATCCAAATATTTATAAATCAGTTTATTCCAAACAAAAAGATAGATCCTGCCTCATCAGTATGAAAGAAATGCAGTGGTTGTCTGTAGCTATATTTTTCAATGCGTTTGGGAAGTGCAAGCTTTAAAATCTTCTGTCAGATATCGGAAGGGCCAATTAAATTGAAGGTGGGACCCTCAAGATAGAAGGGAAGAGACGGGAAGAATGAGAAGATGTCCCTGATTCTGCAGGTAGTTCCACAGCTCAGCAGTTAGAAGGCGGGCCCCTAGCTAATAGGGAAGCAGCAAATTCAACATTTTAACTCGGAGCTGGACAATGAAGTCTAATATTTCCCAAGTTTCCAAATGGTAACCTGTGTGATTGTGCATCTCAAGTGCAGATGCGCAGATGTTTGTGTGTGTGTGCGCAAATTTGTCATCGGTCCCTTTCTAACCTGTTTTTACTTATTGTTCTATGCATATTTGTGCATGTTGACATGTGTGTATTTATCTGTTGGTACAGTTTAGTAGTAGAAGATGTCAGCTAATCTGTATTTAAATGTAGAATAAGTGTCTACATCTAGAATTCTAATTACATTTGATATATTTGCATGTCTGTGCATTTGCACAATGCCTGAAAGGCAGCAAAAAATGAAGTGCTTGGAAGCTCATCCTTCAACGATAACCACGGGAGATGGCTGCTGGCCTGACAGCAGCAGAATGGGGACTAGCCCGCGACCCTGCTCTCAGTACAAGGATCACCTCTGTCTACCATCTGCCGCCCTCCTCCCACTGTCTCACAAACACACGGAGGGATCAGGGCCTGAGGACAGTGAGACAGAGCAAGGCTGGGGGGGGGGGGTTCGGGGTGACGGGGCCTAACCTTATCGGGGCTGGAAACAAAAGCCACCATTGTTCCTCTTTACCTCCCACCCGATCATTTGTCAAGCAATGTCAAATAATGTTAAATACTGTGACAGAATGGCACGCGCTTCCAGCATAACGTGTTTGGAGGGACAATCTCTGGTCAGCACTTGCTTCCAGGAATAACTGTACACGGTAGAGACTGCCACAGAATATGATTAGACTTCCTAGCATTTTTATTGAAGTACTAGAACCTACACTGTGGATAATTGCAAGATAATTCTGCCATTCATTTGATCTATATGCGTTTGTTTAATGCTCTCTTAACGTTGTGTCTCTCACAGCACCCATACCCCTCAGAGGAGCAGAAAAAGCAGCTAGCACAAGACACAGGCCTCACCATCCTTCAAGTGAACAACTGGTACGTTACTTTAAGTCACACGGGCACACACAATTTGTACTTGTACTTGTATCTTTTTATTTTTTTTATTTTGGAGAATTTAGGAATGACTTTTGACTTTAGACTACATCTTCTATCTTCTAATAAGTCTTTAATGTGAGTCAAATCAGAGCGCACAGAGCACTTACACATACTGTTGGAGATCTTGTGACTTATTCTTCTGCCACACCTGATATTACAGGTCTATAATTATTATCAGGGCTATTTATTTAGTGTTTGTTAAGTCTATACATATTAAATCCAAGTAAATATTCATTCATTGTTACATTTTTGGAAACTCTATCCCTTTGTGTATCTTGAATTGTGAAGGTTGTGTCTTTAAATTTCACATTTTTATGTTATGAACTGCTTTGCACTGATTCTTTATATTAAACAGAATAGAACATGTAATTTCACACACACACACACCTACCATACCTTAAAAATCACATGGCATGCATGCCTAAGCCCTGAAGGGACTACAGAGCTTTGAATAAAGGGTAGTATAAAAGGTAATTTATGTTGTGGAAAAACAACAGTTTTTGTTCAAGGATTTAAAGATGGTATATTTCACCTCTAAGAGCCTCATTTTACACGTGACATAAAAGATTAAATATGTTAAGGCCAAGCTGCCAATGCAGTTTAGCTTAGTTAAATAGTTCAATAAAAAAAAATGAATTAATACAATTGAAATTGAATTAAGATAATGCATTTCTACTTGTAATAATTTTACTGGCAACCTGTGCAGGACAAATTTGTATTTATTGAGATGACATCATCTCAATTTACATCGCCACTCTCTGAAATCCACTAAAAGGTTGCTATTGCCAACCTTAAATCCAGGAGAAAAGGCAACCACAGATTTTATCCAATACAAACGTTGAGTGGTGAATTGGGAATTGAGAAAAGACTTTCAATAACGCCATGAATTATGTTAATAATTTTACTAATGATACAGCCAATACTGTAAACATATTCTGCACACAATAGATTTGAGACTTAAATACTGTTTATACCATGAACTTATTCATAAAGTGAATTTAACATGTCATGTCACCAAAGTTCCATATTAAGGTTTGCAGTATGCAGTATGACACCTGAGCAAATTGCTTTTTTAAGGCTTTAACTGTTCATCAAATAGTCATCAAATAATATTGCTCTTCTTTCCAGGTTCATCAATGCAAGGAGGAGAATAGTCCAACCTATGATTGACCAGTCCAACAGAGCAGGTAAAGCTGCAGTTCAATTAGTGTTGAATGTACTACTGTATGTACGGTCTTCCATTCCAGACTGATCAGTTGAAACTAAACGCAAACAGTGTTGCCTTACTGATATAACGCGTTAAATCCACTGTGGCAATTATATATTAGAGAAGTCATCCTGATGGGTTTAGGAGAATGGATTGCATAAAGGTGCTGCATAATGCACAGCTGGATTTGTGTGCAGCATGTTGTGAAGCACAGTGATTGTAGAATTCTGGTTTGCTCACTAAAAATCTTGCTTTTCCTCTCATCTGACAGTGAGTCAGGGTTCAACTTACAGTCCTGATGGCCAGCCAATGGGAGGCTTTGTTATTGACGGGCAGCAGCACATGGGACTCCGACCCGGAGGTGAGTAAGATCTTGTACATTTATCAAACCAGCAAGGGAGAAAATGGGAAACATCATTATAATTATTTTACATTTGCGGTTGGCTGTTTAAATCAAAACGCTATATGCCCACATGTACATACATTAATATGTCATGCAGGTGTCAGACGCTGTGTTTGTCTGAGAGAAACCTTTCACAGTTGACCACAATATTTTCAGGTGGTATTACTTGGTGTCAATGGAGACTATAGTGTACTACTGTATATATATACACACTATATAATATATAATATAAAATAATGTAGGTGGAAGTGCAGAACGAGGTGATGCGAGTGCAGGTGGAGGTGCCTGTTCCTGTGTCTGGTGGTTTTGGTGTACACCGCTCTGTGGCACCTACCAGAAGGGAGGACAGTTATAGTTTCTGTCCGAGGTGTGAAGTGGCTGGAGTGATCTTTCCTGCCCGTTTATAAATGGAAAATTATTCCTGGGGTTCTGCGCTGCTGAACACCAGCTATTTCTTAGCTATGATGCATGGGGTGATGCTGCAGGTGAAGCCAGAGAATAGGTTATATTGTATAAGATTTACTAATAAATGGATGTGAGCATTTTTGTAAGATTTAATAAAAAAGAAATAGTTACAGTCTGAATCATGGTGGGACATTTTATTTGTATTTAGTCAGATAAAATAAATCGAATTCTAAATCAGATAAATAAGAAAATACAAAAAATAACTAAAGTGGCAGTTTGCTACTACTTCCAGGTAAAGTAAAAAAAAAATCTTCAATACACATAATACGAAAACCACGATAACCATAATCGATAATCTTTGTTATTACGGTATTTTATCAAGTGCATAATCCTTTGCTAGACAAAAGCTGTAATAGATGATGGTCTGCCATGTCATGAGGTCTCTGATCTGTAATCTTGCTTCTACTCTTTACTCCAGGGCCGATGGGTGGTATGGGTATGAACATGGGCATGGACGGGCAGTGGCATTACATGTAAATCCACTCCACTGAGGCAAGCCAGAAACATATGGGGAAGTAAGTGGTCCTGTCTTTGTCTCCATTCATTCACTCATTTCTGCTTTCATGCATATGCTCTTTTCCTAACTTCCCTGCACGATGTAGAAATTACTTTGCCACCTGGACCTTTGCTGGAGTGACTTTCATGTGTGAATGTGGCTCAGAGTAAGAATCAGTGTGAGAAAGATTTGAGTGGTCAAGAGGCTAAAATGACAACGTCATTCACTCCCAGACAGACGTCATTTGATCAGTAGCTCCATGTTCTATACTAACGAGCGATACACACCAGTTAGTTCACTGTCAGCCCTACATTGGTTTATTTTTAGTGAAACAGACAAACGCCGAAAGACAGTCAATGCTTTTGGATATGAATCGATATGAGACAAGAGGAGGGGTGAAAAAGTGATTATGAAGATCAGAAAGGAAGAGCAGCTGCTGCTCATTGTGCACGAGAGCCTCATACTGCTCTAGAAATCTTTCTCAATACGTCCTTTTGTTGTTACAGTTACATTTTAAAGCATGCCATTTACCTGTGAGCATACTGCTTTTGGGGATTTTATTCGCTAATTTTATTTAATGTCATAATTATGGCCTTAATTCTCGGTCATTAATAGTCATCTTACAATTCTTACAATCATCTTACAATTCTTTGGTTATTTGATTGTCTAATTGTGAACAAGAGGAGCTGTATCTGGGAATGTTATCATCATTGTTTCTACCAACGTCAACCTGTTCCTGCTAAGTACAACACGGCCAAAAAAAACGGTTACGATTTTTAGGAACTACTTTTCTTCATACGAGAATTTTGGTCCTGATACTGTTTTATCAACTTATATAGTATATAGATGATGGGCTACAGTACCAGTCAAAGGTTTGTACACAGCACTTCCTCATCGAATTGAATGAGAGAATGTTTTCAACGTTTGACTGGACAGAAAATAAAAATTAGTTATGATTATTAATATTAATATTTTTATTTATTTTTTAAACACAGCATGTGAAACCTATTTATCTAAGTCAGTATTTCCACAACATTTCCTCTTTTCTTCTCCATATTTCTATCCTCCTTTTCCTCCATTTTTCTTTTCTACTGTCTCCTGCAAATCCGATTAGGAGTCGGGGTACCGTTCCCCCTCCTCCAGCCTCCATCAGCTCCCCTCCACTGCTGACAGTTCTCAAATCAAGACGTATGGCGTGCCGGAGGCACCCGAGCGCAGAGAATTTTATTTAACACCCACTCTCCACTGCTCAATGAGCCACACTGTAATGACACTTACCTTGATTAATATAGCTCTTTATATGTAAATAGGAGCTGCACTTGCCTAATTCTTTTTCACTCTGTGCAATTTTTACAAACACAGCTCCCTCTTCCCTGTCTGAGAGTTAGCCAAGCTTTGCTAATGAAGTTCAAAGAGCACATTGCAATGCTTCATCTAAAAAAGAAAAGAATAAATACTTCTAAATGCTGGCCGTATATATATAATTTATTATGTTTGGGTATTTAATATAATCATTTATCAGGGCAGATCATAGTTGAATAGCTCAGTAAAGCCGGATGTTTTTACTTCCCCTAATTTGATCCGAAGCAAGAGACCGTATGCTGACTGTAAATCTCCCAGGACTACGGGAAGGAAGAGAGCCATGTTTGGAGTGATACGACATACGACTGCATGATAAAGCTACAGCCATAACAACATTAAGCATTATGGAATATATAGCTATCTACATTGCTTTACTCTGCACTTTGTGGCACAATACAGCGGAGTTCACCATTTATTTTATTCCATACTTCACATTTTTGTAAAAGAATATCTGGAAGTTCCTTTAAAAAGCAGCCTGGCGGTGGAGGGATGACACCAAAATAACTTTTTTTGAGATTAATGTCAAAGAGAAAATGCAAATGATATTAAGTGATGAAGCAAAGATTAAAGTATGATCATTTCTAAGAAAATGAACAGGTAAAACAGTCTTAATTAGCAGATGGAGGAATTGTTGAATAAAACGTCCTCTAAGGCCCATGGTCTCTGTAAATCACTACAAATGAATTTAAGTATCTCTCTGACAACTGAACAAAGTCAGTCCACAAAAAAATATTTTAAGAAGAGGTTTGAAGCTTTGGTAAAGTGCACCTTGAGTTAGGATTCCCTTTGTTAACGTCCTTCACCTTACGGATAAAACCACTAACCAGACAAACGATTCCATTTGAAGTCAATAATGAATAAGTCATACAGGAGAGAAAAATGTTACATCATGGGTTCAGTTCCTCGGATTCCGTATTTTCCAATGATGTTAACATAACAAATGTTCAGAATTATAGATTTACATAACCGGTGATAAATAAAATAAATGAAATAAAATAATAATAACTAATCCCAATTAAAATAATATTTTAGAAAAGGACGGAATTCTGTTAGCAAAGTTAACAGGACTATTTTGCTTAGAATGATGTGTATATATTTTGTTGTATGATCCTCCAGCTTGTCGTATGTTAAGCTGTAGTGTTGCAGGTCTTCCTTTAACCAACAAGGTTGTTATTTCTATTCGCTGCTTTAAAGATGTTGCTTTTCCTAACATTTGAAATAGGTATTTGTATGTGACAAGTAAAATAACAAGCATATTTTTTAAAGCCTCTAAATCGTCCTTCATATGATGGCAAAGATACATAGTTTTCCTAGAACTGCTTTTTCTCAATTATGTTGCCAGATTCCTTTCAGGGTTAAAATACTAGATGATTTAAGCAAGTGAAGGCCAGTTTCTTTACCACAACATGGGACAACTGGAGATGCTCAGTTTTCATCAGATTGCTTGGCCTTGTAATATCTGCTCTACACACCAAATGGTGCATAAACTGCACAAGACACAATCACGTAATTGCTGACTTTGATGGTTATTATTTTGGGGTTTTGGAGCTGCCAGTTAAGCCTTAAAGCAGACTTACCCAAACCTTCATCTCTGTCCTCTGTCTGTGTTCAGGCTTCGGACTCAGGGATCTTCTTCATCTTGCCGTGGAGCCGCCTCTGCAGCCACCACCTCCAACCCGCCTGACGGTTCACCCTCTTCTGCACCCGCAACTCACCTCGCCTAAACGCGCACTGCGCGGCACATCGCCACGGAGACAAGCTTTGGACTGGAAACGGAACAGACTCTGAGCCCCCTCGCGCAGTGGCACGACACTTCGCGATGAAGACTCGTCATTTATTTTTAAATTATTTATTTATTTTTCTAAAACGACGGACCAAAGGGGAAGACGAATTTCTCTCTTCTTTTTCTATTTCCGAAGGACCGCTCACACGTCCGATGCCCACCTCCTCCGAAGACATAGTGCACCATAAACACACACACACACACACACACACACAATAAACAAAACAAGAGACACTGCACATCTTTGTAAAAAAAAATAAAAAATTAAAATGTTATAATTGTTGTGCTATATGGATGGGTGCTTTTGATTTGTCTGTTTCTATCTTTGTGCGTGTTATCACTAGATGTTAGAGCTTTTACAATTGATCCAAACTCAAGCCACGATGTTAAAAAGGAATAAAAAATATATGAATATGTGTTTATGTACTTCATCCACTGCAATTCATTTTTATTTCAGCCTACTTTTTCTTATAAATTGGATTTGTCAAGACACGACTTAATTGCGAATGCGATCATTTTTTTGACAATGTTTTGAATAGTTTTAGCAGCAATACACAGAGAGGAGATCTGCAATAAAACCAAAATAAAGAGTAAATTGAGCAAGACCAAACAAGGATTGGTGTTTTAATATGAGAAGCAAATGAATGCCTGATCTCGATGCTTTTCGTCACGTGGTTTTCCTGCGGGTCCACATTGGACACCCGAAGAGAAAGAAAACGGTTTAAACAACGACGGTAGTTGGTGGAGCAGGTCACGTAGCAGCTTTGGTTCGATATGAGACGGGATTGAGGGGTTCTAAAGGTTTGACGGTTATGCGAATGATGGATGGCCTGGAGACTACATCCGAGAAGTCGGAGGATGCGGCAACCGGAAGCTTTCACTAAATCTTGTGGTTTCTATTCAGTCTTCCGTTGGGACGGTTCGATGCAAATAAGATCAATTAAAACAAAATCACCGATTAATCATTGAAATGTTTAAATTCCTTCGTTTTCAAGAAATACTGACGATTTTAAATGTATATATTTACAGGGTATTTTCCCGTCTCATTTCTCTTTTCTCTCGTTTATTTTTCATGTTTCATTTTTCTTGTTTATTTTTCATGTCTCTTCCTCCACATATGCTTTACAGGACAATATAATAAACACAGATAATGAAGGCGGTGGAACTCGTGTTCATTTATCACTGTCAGCCTTTCCTCTGCGGGGAGAGCCGCCGTCACCGCAGACATTATGAGCCGAAGAAGGCCTAAATGGGCCTTCGTGATCCTTCATACATTTTAATATTATTTGATAATTGACAAAAAATTTGCTACCTAAATTATTGATGACAATTTTACGACATCATAATGATTATAATAACGGTAAAAAAACAATAATAACGATCATTATGATGTATTATTCTAACTAAGGGAGAATCATTTTATATTTAAAAGGTGATGTCCGGCGGTCATCAAATACCCTTTGACATTAACAAGCATTAATGCCCCAAAGTAAATCATGTTTAGGACCAGATTCTGAGCCTGGCAGCGTCTTGTGTGGTCTCATCCAAATCCGACTCCACTTGCTCATAGTAAAGATAATAAACGTCTTCCCTTACACATATTACCTCAGGGATAAATACTAAAAACAGCAAATATCATCATACAGTCGAATTGAATATATTACAGGCTTATTTTATTGGGTTTCACCTCTTGCGCACTGCTGGTTAATATTTTCTTCTCCCTGCCAATAGCAGAAGCCCCCGTTTCAGTGGACGGATAATAATACACTTAGATTATGTTTCCTCAGAATGAACAACTTCGTGTTTGTTTTTTTTAACGGGTGAAAATGCTACAAATTGAACATTCATTTCGAAAGTAACCTTCATCCTTTCATATGCAACACGGAGCAAAATCTTAAATAGACTATTGCTCATGTGAAGCAGTATAAAGACAAACAAGTGTGAAATGGTCTCCTTTTTTTTGTCTGGCAGCGATCCAACTGGCCGAATTCATTCAGCCTGCCGACTGCACTGAAGATAAATGCGTTTTGAAGGCTGCCTGAAACAAGCGCCTATCCGTTTGAAATATAGGTCACGGCTCCCGCAGAAAGCTGCATGGCATAACGCACGAACTGTTTTTCACACAGAATCCCTCCTTACAACAGCAGGGCATTCCAGCAAAGCCATGACGCTATTTCACAATTCAAAAAGTAGGCTAAACATCAATATTATCCTAATAAATAATAAAACAGAAGGGTGCAGAACATGCAGAAGAAATGCATTTTCAATTTTGACACTTAAACGTTTCATTATTACAGGAATATAGCAAAAAGCCCTTTAAGATTAAAAATAAGGACTATAGAGAACGTCATAAGAAATGAAGAACTTGCATATATTTAAGAAAACAGATGTTCACATCCTCACTATACTCATAAGGGAACACAAAGACACGTACTACCAGAATTGGAAACATGTTATTTTGTTACTATTGGATTTATAAAGATCAATCTTGATTTTATTGTGATCATCAAATTAATGCTCAAAGATAAGTCAGCGACTCTATTTAGATGGATTTGGCCGTTATTCATATCAGTACAACACTGTAGTGTTGAGCTCATTGCTGAGAGCAGGAAAAACGGTGCAACGCTAAAAACACAGTCAAATGGGAACCGTATACAAACCAACTGCTGATACAGATGTAACTGTGCGACGGTCACTCTGATGGAGTGAGGTCTTTCATCCTCACCCTTCAATAACTTAAGTTGAACTATCTGTTTTGAAGATCAAATGGGAAATTTATAAAAATGGTATTCAGTTGCAGGGGGAAACCGTGTGGACCTGTAAAGCACATAAAATCATGGTCACATTCAGTTTATTCTTTTTATATTGATATAAAATACTTTCTTTGATTTTTGTAATCCATTATAGAACACTGAGAAGTGTGTGAATGTTCTACCAATACCCAGTAGGTGGCAGTGCAGCACTGTGGTTTCGTTTCGTTACCCTGCACCTGTATGCGCAGGCAGTGAATCTCAAGATGACGTCCTGGTGACTTTTGGGGCAAAACTATATGCCCAGGGGAAAAGAACATGATGGCCCAGTACTCGGATGTGCACAAAGCTCCCCTGTTGCATTATGTTATCTTCCAACTAGATTGTAACAGATTGAAAGTAACAGACTGAAATCAGCGTTCGAGAAAAGAAATAGGTTGCGACATTTACTGAATTCTTAAGCTTGCCAATCATCGACCTATGGGGATAGCTGGCACAAGTAAGGGCGCCTAGGATTGGTAGAGAACGTGGGCAATATGTTCTGATGTTTGTGGGCGGGTTGAGGGGTTGAGAACCGGGGGTATGTTAGGGATTAACGAGAGGGAGTATTTTTCGGCGTAGGCTGAGGCCCACAGTAGCCTGCGTCCTTGTTTGTAATAAAACCATAATAGGAATGTTGTTGTCTCGAGCTTTATTGGCGTGAGTTGCCACTTCTTTGCCTCCACATTGGGAGTATGATTGCGCCATTGATCTGCTCCCTGCATCCTCTTTTCCCAGGGGGAAAATTCCCTGTTTGCGCTTGAGACACATAGTCACAATGATGTGACGGCCTTGTTGGTGGCAGGTATGATCAGACCTTCATCATCCCCACCGGGTGCAGGTTTGTTTTTACTCAGCAAGAAAGACAAGACCGTTCGCCCCTGTATTGAGGGTTGAACAACATCACAGTCAAGAACAGGTACCTTTCTTCCTCTCATTTCATCGGCATTTGATCTGTTACAAGGTGCTAAGGCAGTGGTTCTTAACCTTGTTGGAGGTACTGACCCCCACCAGTTTCATATGGGCATTCACCGAACCCTTCTTAATTGGAAAAATACAATTCAAAACATAGGTATATATTTTACTGGTGCACAAAATGAACCGTGCATCAACATCAGAACAAAACCATTAAAACAATTTTTAATACTTCTGCCAGTTTTGGAGGCAAGGTTTTTGTTGCCAATGCATGCCTGTGCAGAATACAATGAGTAACAATGATGTGTGGTGCATCGGCTTTCACTAGCGCACCAAAACCAAACTTTCTTCCCAGCATGACTGGAGCTCTGTCCGAACAAACTGCAGAAACCATATCCCACGAAAGATTTTGTCTTTGAAGACGTCATCCACAAGTTTCTTCACATCGGCTGCCTTAGTTGTTGTCGTAAGAGGCTTACAAAATAAAAAATCTTCCTTTTTCACGTTGTCTTTCACATAGCGCACAAATACAGCAAGCTGGCTTAGATTGGAAACGTCTGTGGTCTCGTCCAGTTGAAGGCTGAATATTGCCGGGCTTGAAATCGGATCTGCAACTACTTGAGCCAAGATGTCTTTGCTCATGTCCTCTATTCTGTCGCTAATGGTGTCATTTGAAAGAGGAATTTGGGATAACTGAACTTCAGCCGCTTTTCCCAGCATGATATTCGCCATCTTCAACACAGCTGGTTTTATGAGTGTTTCACCAATGGTGTGTGGTTTGCCCTGCTTTGCGATCAGGTAAGAAACTTCGTACGATGCTGTGAGGATCGGTTTGTTGATGGGTACAAAGCCGAGAACAGGCAGAGTAGCCTTTTCATTGAATCTGGCTCTCTTCACCTTGAATTCAGCGAGCGTTGTGTTCTTGTATTGTCCATCTCCATGCAGCTTAAGGAAGTGTTCTCTTAGTTTTGCCGGTGCTAGACTAGAATTGCTCAACTTGGCATTGCAAATCATGCAGTTAGGACGCTGACTCCCATTACGTTCCATTATACATGTGAATCCATATTGTACATATTTGTCCGACCACTTTCTTCTTTTGCTCGACATAGTTAGTATGAAGGGATTAAAATATTAAGAAAGAAATCACACGACGTACCATCACGACAGTCACAATTTGACTACTGAGCGCGGCAAATTCCCTGCAGCACAGATAGGCCAAGCGATGTTGCGTGATCACCTCCAGCCAATGATGGCCAAGCGGGGCGCGTAATCACGAATCATATGAGTCGGGTGTGTGTCTTGACCTCTGCCGAACCCCTGAGACTGACTCACCGAACCCCTGGGGTTCGATCGAACCCAGGTTAAGAACCACTGTGCTAAGGTCTTTACTAAGCTCGACTTAAGAAACGTCTATCATCTGGTCAAAATTAGAGAGGGAGACGAATTGAAGACTGCTTTCAACACCCCTAGTGGGCATTACAAATAACTAGTCGTGAAAGCTGTCATGAATCACCGAATTTATGTCAGGCAGGTTCTCTGGCGCCTTCTTGATCACCAACTATTTGTGAAAGTGTGAGTTCCACGTGTCCCTCCTGCATTCTGCCCTCGTCTTGCCTAGTCAGGGCCGTCACTTGGGACATTGAGGAGAGGGTGAGCGTCTCTGTCCCTAATGTTTGTCCTCCCAGCAAGCTGTTTGTTCGTTCTTCTCTCCGGTCGGAGATCATCCAGTGGGCCCACTCCGCGCAAGTCTCCTGCCAACCCGGGGTCCAGAGGACAATGTTTGTTGTAAGGCACTGGTTCTGGTGGCCCGCGATGGAGAGGGAGGTGTGGGAGTATGTGCCGGCCTGCCAGGTGTGTGCATGCTCTAAGGTTCCTCGACTACCTCCTCCCGGCCTCCTACG